TTCTGTCTACAATGGTCGTAGTCGTAAGAATAATCGACTGCGATTGGTCAATTCTTATCGAGCGACTACGACTACGACCATTGTAGACAGAACCGAGAATCATTGTAGCGGAGGCTTAAAGCCTCGTCTACATAGAAGTCGTAAAGTCGTAGTCGTAAGAATAATGGACTGCGATTGGTCAATTCCGTCAGATACATAAGAATTGACCAATCACAGTCGACTATTCTTACGACTACGACTTTACGACTTCTATGTAGACGAGGCTTAAGGGCCATCGCACACAAAACTGCATAGCCTGCATGTGCATAGCATGAAAACCGTTTAAACCAATGAGCATCGAGCATTGAGTCGCCATATTGATTTACATAACGCGCTCATTGGTCCAGACTGTCTTGTGCTATACATATGCAACTGTGCAATTTTGTGTGCGATGGCCCTAAAGCGGGGAGCACACACTTTTGCACAAGTGCATAGGCAGATGCATAACGAATTTGATTGGTCTACAAGCAAATGCATAAGAAACTGGACCAATCAAATTCGTGATGCATATGCTCGTGCACTTATGCAAAAGTGACGAGCGAGTGCGCGTATAGTGATCGTAGCCATTCCTCGGATCTGACATGGCCGTTCCTGTCATTTTAAATTTGAGTTAAACTGTATTGCGCGGCTGCGTCGGTGGGAGCTCGCGCGAGTTTAACGCGGGTCTGCCCCAAATGAGATATGTCAATAGGCGTCGACATGCTCGGCAACTCGGTCAACGTACGCCGCGGGAGAATGGTGCTGTCCGACCTGGATCAGATCAAGAAGAACGAGCGTGACCGTCGCCGAAGGTTACGTTTGGAACAGGTACGTGCGATTCCACAATTTTTCTAAACCCGGCCCGACTCGAGGGCTTGCACGATGAAACGCGCGGGGAATCTCCGGTTCCCCCTCGACAGGGATCCCCGTCAACCAAACGAATCGCCTAATCTTCCGCGTTGTATCCGCGCCTTTGCGATGTAAACACCAGTCGCAGATGCAAAGTGACATATCGCGTTGCAGGTCCGGCAGCAGTCGAAGGAGATATCGAATCGACTCTTGGAACGCGCCAAGAAGATAGCGAGGGACGAGCTCAACAAGCTGGAGAGCGACGGTCGGTCGGAGCTCCGGCAGATGCACGAGAGGAAGCTCGTGGACATGCAGTTGAGGTATCAGGAGGATCTGGAGGACATCGGTCGAGCGCACGCCTGCGCCACCCTGCAGCCGGACGCGGACGCGATGATCGAGGAGGAGGGCAGGCGAGACCGGGCCACGGCATTGCGGAGAGGCAAGGACGCTCTGGAGTGCGTGCGAGAGGCAAAGCAGACGGACGGCGCGGAGGCGGTCCACCAGGAGAGACTGCGCAGAGTGCGGGAGACGGAGAACGCGAGGGCCGCGATGGTGGCGAGGCTCCCGAGGCCGCCGTCGTCCGCGGAGAACGACGCGGCGGTGAGGAGTCCCGATCGAAGCCCGCGGAAGGAGGCGACGCGCCCGGCACCGACTCCGAAGAGGAGGAGCAAGAAGCTCCTGCCGAGGAAGTCGCCCGGCAGAGTGAGGAAATCTAATCCGAGGGAACATCAGACGACTGCCTCGCCGAAACCGGGCCCCTCGGGGCTGCAAAGGGGATCCGCCGCGCGATCTCACGAGCCGCTCTCGAGAGACAGAGCGGACGGATGTGTTGTCGATGACGCGAGCGACGATCAAGTGCCGCGGAAAACGGCACCGGTTATGAGCGCCGTGCCTGACAAAGCGGCGCGGTACAATCCGGAAGATTACACGCAGGACACGTGGAGCAACGTGAGCAGCAGTAGCTCCGGCTCGACCAGCGACGACTCGTCGTACTTCTCCGACGGCGTGGAACAGGTCGCGTGCGGCAAGGCGCCGCGGACGCCGGCCGCGACGGAGAACAAGGTACGCTCGCAGTGTACCAACACGCAGCGAGTACCGCCCGCTCACGACAGGCCGCCCCTCTGCGTGGTCGAGAGGTCCGACATCAGGAACGAGCGGAGCGCGATGGAGGCGGCGCAGGCGGCGAGAAACGCGGGGAGCGCGGAGGCGCGCGCGTGCCGAAGCCGTAGATTGAACGTCCAGCGTCGCGGCGAGGACGCGATCCTGCGAGAGAGGGTGCGGCGGGATTATCAGGCGCTGCTGCGCAACCTGGACCACCTCGCGCGGGAGGAGCGCAAGCTGAAGGCCAGTCAGACTCGAACTGCGGAGGAGGACGCGTGCGCGCGGCTGCATCAGCGGACCATTTGCCGGGAGGAGTGTCAGAGGAGGCTGAACCGCGCGGCTAAAAAGGTCCTCGGCGCGGAGTGCCGGTGCACCCATCTCGCGGAGAGGGTCGTCACCCTGCCGACGCGGAAGAGGCACGACGGGCGCGACGACGTGCCTCACTCCACCTGGCAGGATCCCCACCTGGTCGAGGACGTTTGTCGCACGCCGCGGGACAGAGAGGACGAGGGGTCGCGCGAGGAACAGATACTGGACATGCTCAAGAAGGTGGAGAGACAAAAGTGGCTGCTGCTGCAAGAGTTCGGCGCCAGCTTGCCGGACAATATATTCAACGTCAGCGTGAGGCCGCTCTTCGAGGATGAAACGCCGAGGGCGCCGGAGACCGTCTGCGCCGCCAGACCCGCGTCGCCCGAGATTAAAGTCATAAATATGTCCAGCAGCGACGAGTGCGTTAGGAAGGACTGCAGGGCGAGGAGGCCCGACGAGTCGCCCGCGGCGAAGATCGAGATCGCCGTTCAGACGGCGCCGGAGCAAGCGCGTCCGGCGGCGAACAAGAGCGTGCAGGTGGAGTTGCCGCGAGAGGAAGACGCCTGCGCGCCTGCCCCGGATACCAGCGGTGATACGCCCGCACGAGTGCCCCATCCGATCGAGCCGAATGTCACCATTATCACGCCGGAGTCGGACGACATCAGCAACAATTCGACGAGCCCCGAGATCAGCGAGATGATCATCGAGATCGGCAACAGGGAGGTGATCGTGACGCCCAAGAAGAGAAGGAGCGGCGTGAGGGTGTCGAAACGGCCGTCGCCTCGGGTCTACCAGAAGATCCGCCCGACGTCCGTCGGCTCCAAAGCGACGTCGCCCGCCAAGAGGTTCTCGTGGTCGCAGTCGGGCGTCCGTTCGACCCCTCAGAAGAAGACGCGGTGCGCGGCCGCCAGGCGCGTCGACGTGCACGTGAGCCAGGTCGAGGACGACGAGACGGACCCGTCGCAGGGGACGAGGGTGTCGATAGACGCGAGCGCGGAGAGCTCGCAGACCATCTCCGGCCTGAACGATGAGGAGCCGTCGTCGGGCGGGCCGTATCGGGTCCGCACGCAGACGAGGAGGTCGATCCGGATGAGAGACACTTCGGACACGTCGACGTCGTTAGCGAGCCCGCCACCGGTAAAGCCCAGGTCGATGCTCGACGCCTTGAGCAACATCACGCAGATTCTGGAGCTGCTGGATTCCCCGGGATTCGAGGACGTGAGGAGACTGCGGCGGGACATCAGCCCCGTCTCCACACCGGAGACCCCCTCGCCGCGCACGATGATGATGCCGTCGAACGTTCCGCACCGCGACAGGATCGCCAGGATGCTTAGATTTAGCGTCAACGATTCTGAGGCTAACGGCACCGTGGTGTCGTCGACACAGAGGGACCAGTCCACCTTGACGGACCCGTCGGACGTCCGTCAGGTATCCGAGGCGTCGGAACGTGTGTCGACCGCCTCGCAGCAGCCGTCGGCCAGAGTCTGCATATGCAAAAATCCCCAGTGTAAATTGTTACACGTGAGGCTCGATGATATTCACGATTACGCCTTGAAAAATTGTCCCGAGATCTTGCAAAAGTACGAAGACCTGCAGAACTTGTGCACGGAAAGAATAGCGTCCCTAACTGACCTCATTGAGAAAGTGCGAAATGAGCAGAAAGGTAGGGTACTGTTAACAAATTATTCGCCTGGCAATTTAATTTCAATCACCTGTAACGCGAGATATTTTTATACTACGGTACTTCCAACTGAATCTGCATAATTTGACATTCGACAAAATAACTTATTAAATTAATCGTGTATCATATTTATAGAGCGTCGTTTTTGTGCAAAATTGAAAATAGCACTACGTATTTATTGCAGATATGGATTTTTCGCTGATGGACGACACCAGCTTAATGCAATTACCCACGCCAAAGTCAGCACGTAACGATGCGCAAACAGTGCGTAGATTGATTGATAGTATAGAGGAAATTCATGCCCAGCTTGCAAGAACGCTTCTCGAGTCACAAAGTATTATGCGAGGGGGTGAGGCAGTTTCCACGGACACACCCTCGTGCGACACGGAATTCCAGGCGGTCACTTCTACTCCGAGAAGTAAATTATTAGATAAGGCACATGTACAGGAATCCAAAGTAGTAGAAGGCCGCGCCGAGCCAAAGATTATAAGCAATGAAAGAGTTAATGTACATCTTAACCGATTTAAAATGCAGCAAAAACCTCAAGAAGCGTCGGCAACAAGAGCACCGGAGCGTAACTCTTGGCCCCCGTGTACGCTTTCTCTTCACGAAGAGGAGGTAATTGAGAAATTGTCGAAAGAAATTTTAGAACAGAGTAAAAATTTGGACCGAGCAAGTGCCGTCTTTACCGCTTCGAAAGAAAGAGACGAAGCGCAGCATAAAGTGCCGTCCTCTAAGGAACTTCATCCGGGAAAGGGTGTCTCGTTGGAACACGAAACAAATAGTAATGTTGCAAAGGAACTTACTTCCACTCCAGAGGTAAGCAACATATTTTTACTTGTACACGCCTCTATACTCGCGTGTACTTCGAAATATTTGTAGAGGAAAGTCCTCTATTATGAGATAAGTTGCTAATATGAGAGCAGGTTTTCAACACCCAAATTCAATCACAAATCTTTTTTTTTTTTCGCAACGTTTACACAATCTGACGATGAATTTTTCACTAAACAGATTTCGCTCCAAGGGCAATAAATTCATGGTGGAATCAACAGATGATGCCCATCGATTTAACAGAAACCCCACTATCCCATATTACGAGCCTATCTCACATAACAGGGGACTTTTCTCTATATTAAAGATATCGTGCATCTAATATTTGATTTGATATGTTAAAAGCACTGCAAAATATTTTATGTTATTTATGACAAAACGATTTTTCCCTATTTTTAGACTGCAAAGGAAAGCGGTCTTGTTCCTACGTTAACTAGCATTCCCAAAATATTGCGCAGTCATGGAAATGTGGCATCAATAAGCGTAAGGCCGAAACCTCCGGTTACACTGTTAAATGGACTGTACAGGTAAGATTAATCTAGTAATTATGTTTGACATGGATATTTCAGTTGTCTTTAATTCTTTACATTTTCCATGAATTGTTCTAACTCAGTTTTAATCCAAACAGACCAGAATTAGAGTCATCGGGACACGAATTATCGACGATCGTGGAATTTGATACGACGGATACAGTTAATAAAAGTAGCAAGAGCCCAGCGAAATCTAAACCATCCGTTCACGTGGCTCCTCTACCCGTTCAACAGAATCAAAATTTCTCGAGGAAATCAGCGGACTCGTCATTCGGTACGAAACATTCTGCCGAGAAGCCGTCTTCTGCACAGAAGTCGCAAGATACCACGACTACTTGCAATTCTCCTGACAAGTTGAAAAGCATGGCTGCTTGTATTACAGAAACGAAAGTTGAGGCTGAACGGGAGTACATGCTCGAAAAGTGTAATAAACAGTTACAATGTAATACAACTGCTGAGGAAGCGGTTTGTCAGGCGAAAGATAAACTCGGCTCTTCCATAAGTACCGACTTCCATAAAGAGAGTAAACACAAAACGACATCCACCAGTTTGTACAGCTTTTCCGGACTATCTGGTATTTCTGAGATAACGAGTTCTCCATCGTCCGACATGTTGAAGCACAATTCGTCCCCGGAAGAAATGGAGACGGCCTTGAAAAAGCTGGGCCTGGGCTGGGCGGTCACGACGCTAAAGAAGACTCGGGAAGCAAGTGCCCTTAGTTCCTCCTCAAACTCGGACGTTACGCCAGTAAATACAGCTAGGAGGATGATTTCTCCGACTAAGAAACAGCACTATTCCAACGGTTTTCCGGATATCAGTGACGTATCGTCGATATCGATCAAAGAAGCTAGTAAGAGCACCGAGCAAGCTGTGCTCTTAAAGGGCAGGACTTCCACTCCTAAATTCCAAAATTCCAATTCCAACAGTGAGAGATCCAGCACTACAAATACATCTGAGAGCGCTCAAGACCCAAGTGACAGTTTAACTGTGCCTAATGTGTCACTTACGAAAACGAAATCTGATAATAAGCAATTACAAAGTCCTTGACAGAAAGTGTTTTATATGTACAATTTTATTATTATTCAGAGAGAGAGATATATATATATTATTATATTTGATTTTTTATGGAGAATTAGTTGTAAAATAGAATATTCTCAATATGCGGGACCACTTTTGAATGTTGACGTATACTCGTCGTTCGATTTATGATACTTTTTACACGTGGGTTTTTTTGCGTGGTAAAACTTCCGTTTACGGGAAAAATCAAGTTAGAATGAAATAGCAACAAGCGAGAGAAGCATAGCTTTAGTAGTAGGGCTTTTCTTTTTTGCATCGGACTGCAACAGACTGCATTTATGTGATTCTTAACCGCTTAAAACAAACGTACTCTGCGTAAAACGAAGGGCGAGTGTGAATAATTTTTATCTCGAACAATATGTAATTGTTATAATAAATAGTTCGCTCATGCTTTTGTTACAAGCAACTCAAGATAAAAATAAGAGAGCCATATGTTATTCTCTCCCGAAAATCACAAAAGTCTGTGAAATATTAAATGATAGGTACACTATCCGAGAGTTGCACTAAATGTAACAAGATAAAATGTTACAGCGAATACGCAATTTCTTCATATCTTGTAGTTGCTTTATAAAAGGAGTTTGCAATGGAACTTTTTATTTTATATCACATTCAAGAAATAATTTATGGAAACAAAAGAATTATTGGTTCTATGTTGTGGCTACAAATGGACGAAATAGTTGAAACAATTTAACATTTTGAAACACGACTATCGTGTCCGCGTTGACGAGATGCCTTCTAATGGTTTCAAGCATGAGATTACAGTAAATTGAAATGTTATATTGTAAGAAGTACATGAAAGACTGACGCCGCGACTTCAAACGTGAATAATTTATAAAAAAATGTGTACAATAGAGGAGTTATATGACTTTTAAGAAACAGACATATAAGATGATGTCTATACATACGCATTTACACTTACTCTTGTTTGATATCTTATATTTTTCTAAATAAATAATAGTATTTATGTGCCTCTAGTTCTCCCTTCTGTGGTTTGAATATGAAACAATAAGAGAAACTAATTATTTAGCAATATCTATTTAATTTCAATTATTTCTACGCGACCAGAAAGATATGCACAATTAATAGTTTTCAAAAAATCATAAATTATGGAGGAAATTTATCAAAGAAAACTGAATACAAGCGATAAATAATTTAATAAGACAATACAAGTCAGCTGTACAAATTACATTGTTTTTCTAATCTGACTTGATGACAGTATTAAAGACAGTTTAAAAACAAATCAACGAAATGATTGACCTATGGTTAATTATTTCTACACAAACATAGACTTAAGAAATTGCGTTTTCACACTGTCATCATCAAAAGTCAGATTAGAAAAACAATGTAATTTGTACAGCTGACCTGCATTGTTTTATTAGATTATTTATCTCGTAATACTATTGGCCTTACATTTCTGTTTTCTTGAAAATTTATCATTTTCCTTTCAAACAACATTGCAACATATACACGTAGTCTAATGTTTTATAAAAATATCAAACAATTACGCAGGGACACGTTTCTCCAATTCATAAATACTAAGCTTTTCCCGCCTTTCCCAGTTTCCATAGAAGCGAAAGAGGAAACCCGTCTAGAGCGCGCCATATTGTTGGCGACCGACGCGCACGAAAAATATCGGCGGCACAAATTACCCGAGAAATATTAATCGTAACGCAGCTAATTGCATTCGCCGCCCCCGCTTTCAGCTTTACGAATTAATCCCTCCCGTTCGAGAATACAAACGTCCCGTTCGGTCGCGCGCTCCCGCGCCGCGAGTTCGCGGCGCCGCCGCCGCGTGCCGCTGCCGGCGCTCGGTTCCGTTTGCGACAGTGAGTCTGCACGGGCGCGCGGAGAGGCGGTTTATCTCGGGGAGGCGGACGAGAGTCGTGTGTGCATGCCCGAAATGTCGCACGTCGGCGGTACGCACCTCCCCTCGCGTGTCCTCTAACGCTTCCGAGACGCGATGGGTCACTCACGGCGCATTTAACGCCCGCTGAAACGGGAGGATCGCGCCCCGAGGTCCAGCCGCTCAGGCATCGGCAGGGCGGGTGGGAGGGGGGGACTCTACCAGGATCGCGGAGCCGAGTCTTCGTTCAGTGCCAAAACGTGACGAGCGTCCGAGCGACACGGTTCGTGGGCAGCGCGCGCGCGAACGAGATAGAGAGAGATAGATATATAGAGATATATATATATATATATATATATATATATTCCCAGGAGAGGAGGTGAAAAGGTGCCTGTCAATGCGCGACGGCGTGCCACGCTCGTGCACGCGTCAAGACGCCGAATCCGAGGAGTAGCTTCGCGGCCCCGCCGAGCCGCCTCCCCCGCACGCAGCCGTCCCAGTGATATTCACGCTTCTAGCTAGAGAGAGGGAGAGAGAGAGAGAGAGGGGGAGAGAGAGATCATCCCGCACTCTCCCGCAATCATGTCGGTAACTCGGGACACTACGACACGCCGTTTGTTTGGGAGCGGTTGTTGAGTATCCGCCGAACGATGAGTCTATCCCTGGAATCGCCGGACGCAGTTCTAGAAGCATAGTGAGTAAGGGCCCCCCGGTCCGTCCTATCGCTCGCGTTCGGCGCGGACGCGCCGCGCGGCAGCCGGACTGGTTTTTTTTGTCTCCGCGGCGACGACCGTGAGGCGACGACATGCCCGCTTCGCCAAGCCGTGCACTCGGCTCCGATTGTCGGCGGGTTCTCGCGGGAATTTTCTTCTCGCGCGTATCGCGTGTCGTTCGCGAGGCTGCTTGGCTCGCAGCTCTTTTTTCAAAAGAGAGAGGGAGGGGGATAGAGAGAGAGAGAGAGAGAGAGAGAGAGAAATATATCTTAAGTACGCGAGTATAACGTCGATTTTTCAGTTAAATCGGAGGCAAATTGCTCCGATTGACCTTGAGTGATACGCTTTATTTATCCCTTCGGTCTCTGTTTACGAGTGCGTCGCTTTTACAACGCGACATTCGGGACTTATTTTACAAGATTTCATTTTGGACGATAAATTGCTAACTTTTCCCGGCATTTTGCTTTGCAGGTTGAAATTAAAGACTGCAAGAGTTTCTCTTTCCCCCGCTCTCGATCGAGACGGGTGCGTTGAAGCGGTATTTAAATAATTTATGTACTCTGTACCTTCCTTTCGACTGAGATTTTCATAGCTGCTCAATAGCCGTTCCTCGAGTTTCTTGCGACACTGAGCGATCGCAAAAATTACTTCGCAATCTATGCATAAGGAACGCATTAGAATAATGTCTCTGGTTATTCGTGCACTCTAGGAATTGCGTGTAACGAGCAACGTTTCGTGTAGAAAATCCGTTGAACGGGCATCAGCTTTTCGCAACAAATTGTATGGCAATCTCAATTATTTCAGACTGAGAGAGTATATATGGAATCAAAATGGCACGCAGACGCAAAACCGAAGTGAAATCGTCCGAGAAGTCGTCTCACAAGTATGTACCCGTGCGCAAGTCCAGCAGACAAATAGCCAAGAAGCAGTTGGAGGAGAAGATAAACGGATACATCACGCAGACGTCTTGCTCAAACAGCTCGGAGGACTCCAAGTCCGGCGAAGGTCACAGCCAGGCTCCTTTCAAGAAGAATCAAAATTCCCTAAAGAAACACAACAGGCATAAAGGCGGCTCCGGTAACAGCGTGATTATAAATAATGAGAACGCTGTGTACAATGCCGGTCAATATAAGCGGGACGCGGGCGAGAGCGACAGTCAGGACGGCATAGATAGTATGATGAAGAAATCGGAGAGGCTCAGCGCGGAGGACATACAGCAGGTCGTGGTCGGCAATCCGAGCCCGAGCGGCGAGCCCGCGCCTGCGTCGAGCAGGGTGGAAGCGTGGTCGGAGGATGTCATAGAGGAGATGATAATCTGCGAGGAGGTGCAGGTGGAGGAGGACGTTGGTGACAATAGTTACTCTATGGCGCGCGACGACGTTATAGTCGAGGAAGTATTACTCGTAAACGAATCTAATCTAGAGGACAAGAACTGTGTAGAATTTACTGTGATACAGAACGAGGACGGCGTGATACCCAAGTCGGGGAGCGCTTCGAACAGCGGGTATCACGCTGGTAGAAGGGATGTCAATAGTGTACATACGAGCCAATCAGAAAATTCCATATCAGCCATGCGCGCGGACGAATCGGTGACCTCGTGCGGCAGTGGCAAGAGCAACGCTGCCGATTCTAACGCGGAGAAACCTTGTATCAACAAGAAGAGAGTCGGGTTGGAAAACGGCGGTAAGAGACAGAAGAGCAAGACGATTTATGATAACATCAGGAAGGCAATTTCGGAGTCCATTTCCGAGGAAGTTCGTTTGTGCTCTATCAAGGACGACTCCGGCTCCTCCACGGAGGAGGACAGCTGCAGGCGGGAGGGCGCGCGAGTGAAAAATCCGCCTGCGGATTCGTCACATGACGACTCGTTTAACAGGCTAGATAATAAACTAGCGGATATGCAGTTAAGCGAGTCTTCGCAAGAAATACAAAAGTTAATGAATGATCTCTCTAGCGTGGAAAGCACCGACTCGCCGGTACAAACTCCTTTAAATATGGAAAAACTGTCCCTGATCCAATTGAATATCGACGACGAAAGTAGTTCGTCGATACTGGATAAAATGGAGCAATTACATCATCCGAATAATTCCGTTAGCTCTGACATTAAAGAGATGTTCGCTACGGAGCCCAACAATATCGTTAAAACCCGAGAGCGGAATGTCTTGGAGTCCCACCCCTGCGTTGATAAGCTTCAGTGTGAGGATCGAGCTTCGTTAAAGTCGAGAGTTACGCAAGACAAGAAAAGTGCGAGCCAGCAAAGGAATCCGGAGCACCTAACGGCCACCGATGAGTATCAAGACAGCGAAGGAGATAACAAAGTTGACAACGAAGATATCAAGTTGTGCAGCAGCAGCGAAAATAGTAACGACACATTATCGTCGCTTACCAATTACAGAGGACGGGACTTTGATATAAGAAACGCAATTGGCGGTACGGTCGACGTTGACAAGAAACTTGAATCTAGGGGTCGCAGTGGAAGCATTGATGCGACGACTTCTGAAAATAGTTCAAACAGCTCGGGCGTAAGACGTAGCAGTAGAATTCGATCTATCGGATTGATGAAGCAAAGGTAAGAAAATGTTATAGAATTTTTAAATAAAATTTACATATGGATGAACAACGTTTTCTGTATTGCGGATTTTAAAACGAGAAAACTCAATTTGCTTACAGATCTCGTGGGCGTGGCTTGGTTACAAAACCCAATGTAGACGTCTCAAAGGCTGTTCTTCAACAAGATAAAGAGAAAGTAATTAACAACACAAACTCTTTAGTTGTACAAGAAGTAAAACCTGATAGCTTTGAGACTCAGTGTGATAAGGAAAACAATTCCAACAAGATTTCAACTTCGATTGATACTTCAACACCTTTGAGCACTAGTTACAACGCTACAGGATATGATTCTGATTCTTCAAAGCCAGTTAAAGTAAAGTCCCGTTGGCGAAGATCGAGCGAGCTTGAAATGGGTGGATCAAGCGCAGGATCTATCATTGCTCCTGTGTCGATGCTCGGGTCATCCGTTGCTCCCCCATTCGAATCAGGACGTCACGCGCCAGTAAATATAGGGGAGTCCACGTCGTCAGAATCAAAGTATAACGTTATTGGTACAAATATAAAAGTTTGTACGGAATCGGAACAAATTAAAGATGTACCAGTGGTATCCAGTAATCTGTCTACTGTCTCAACGATAACACAAATTCCAAAAACTGTAGGCGCAAAGATTTCGTTGCCGATGCTTCTCGAAACTGAAGACAGAGAAATGGAGGAAAGACTGAGTCAGTTCGAGCACTTGCATGAAAATTTGTATCTTACTGAAAGGTACGTAAAATTAAAAATTATGTCTTTTATACATACACGTATATATTCTTTCTAATAATGCGTATGGTTATTTTATCTGAGACGTTAAATATTTATAATGTTTATTAGATTTACGAATAAGGAAACCAAAAGAATGGTATGCGATTGTTTCTTAACTGAAGAGGACATTGACAGAGGAGAACTTGGTTGTGGGGAAGATTGCCTTAATAGACTTCTCATGATAGAATGGTAATCATATTTAATACGATATTCAATTTTATAATTTATATTTGCACATGATATAAAAAGCAAGTAAAGGTATTGATAAGATAAAGCCATGGTTGGGAAGTAACTCGTTACTTGTAACGAAGTTACAGTTAGTTCTTTTTGGTAACTAACTTAACTTCGTTACTTTCTCTCCGTCTGTAACTGTAACTTAACTTAGTTACATTAACAGTTACTTTATATACTATATGTATGTTTTAAATCTCCACAGATTGCATTAGACCATATAAACGCCTTTATCGATACTCAACATTTCAAATGCAGATTTGAATAGATATTTTGACTTTCATCGCAAGAGAGTAACTGCAAAGTAACGATTCGTTACTTTTTGAGCAATTGTAACTGTAACGCGTTACTTTTCAGAATTGGCAACTTGTAACTGTAATTAGTTACAGTTTTTGCGAAAATATAACTGTAACCAGATATTTTATAAAGTAACTTTCCGAATCTTGGATAAAGCAATGTTTTTCTTCAAATATTGATTATGTAAATTGATGTACAGAGTATAAAGAAATGAATTGTGCAAGTAGAAATAATAATATTATTTTCTTACTTATTAGTGGACCTAGATGCGTGGTAGGTGATAGATGTACAAATAGAAGATTTCAAAATTGTGAATATGCCAAGTGTGAAGTTTTTCGAACGGAGAAGAAAGGTTTCGGGTTACGTGCTGTTACCGACATAATGCCGTAAGTATTTTCTTTTTGCGACGAGTAAAAATATAGACATGTCCACGTGAATAAAGAATAATAAGAAATACACAAAAATATTGATTTCCGCATTTTTGCAATTGCAGGGGCGAATTTATAATGGAATATGTAGGAGAAGTTGTAGATCCGAAGGATTTCAGACGTCGAGCGAAAGAATATTCCAAAGATAAGAATAGACATTACTATTTTATGGCATTGAAGTCTGATCAGATTATAGATGCTACCATGAAGGGAAATATATCCCGATTTATTAATCACAGCTGCGACCCGAATGCGGAAACGCAAAAGGTAAATTTATGCTTTGTTTTACAGCTGACAGAAGCAATTCTTGCGAAATGCCAGAATAACAATATTCATTTCAATAATAATTAAATACCTTTTAGTGGACAGTAAACGGAGAATTACGAATAGGCTTTTTTAATAAGAAATTCATTACGGCTGGCGAAGAAATTACTTTTGATTACCATTTTCAACGTTACGGGTATGTTTTTTTCCCTGATATTTTCATGATTATTAAGTGGTTGTTTTTTACTTGGGTGGATTGTACATGTAGATATCTATTTTTATTGGCGCAATTTATTATATGTTCAAAATAATAGCAAGGAAGCTCAAAAGTGTTATTGCGAGGCACTGAACTGTCGAGGTTGGATAGGCGAGACGCCTGAAGAAGAAAAGGAGAAGATTGAAAAGAAAGAAAAGCGCGAAAGAGATCCGAAGAAGAAGAAGGAGGAGAAGAAACCTGCTGATTATATGGAGGATGAGGATGTAAATACGATTGCGCTATTAATAATATTATACGAGTTAACACAGTTTGTTAAGCAATCACTTCTTGTTACTTCTTTGTTACTTTATACTTTTTACGTTTTATTTTAGTTGGAGGAGGAAATAGACAAGTTGTGCTCCGGTGGTTTGAAGAACCGAGCGCACACATTAACGTTAAGTAGATTAATGGTTCGTAGTAGAGAATTAGAGCACAGAACGCGTTTGTTGCGTCTTATTCAGAGTGGTGAGCAACCGTGTCGAAGATTATTCTTGGATTATCATGGATTACGTTTAATTTGGAGTTACGTTATGGATCTTGCCACGAACGAATCGGAAGAGGCTCAACAGTTTCGCTTAGAAGTGTTGAAAACTCTAAATACACTGCCAATACCAAACAAGACAATGTTAATGGATAGCAAAATATATGGCGTGGTTGAAAGATGGGCGAAAAGATTGTATCTTTCTCTAAATGCTGATTCCCCAGAAGACGATCAGATTAAATCAAAGATGAGCTGTGAAGACTTGAATAGTAATTCCGATAGCAACGAGAAGAAGAGTCCCGATGAACGTCTGACTGACATTCCAGATAAACGTAACAACAATATTGAAAGTTGTTTGGCGGTTGGCGAAGTTAAATCAGAGAATACAGATCAGAATCTTATTCCTGATCTGGCTTCTAGTCTTCTTGCTGAATGGTCCAATCTAAAGGAAGTGTTTAGAATACCAAAAAAAGAAAGGATCGAGCAGATGAAGGAGCATGAGAGAGAAGCAGGTTATTTTCGACACACTAATGGCATTTGAAGTCTAAAGTTATTAACATTTATATAATATTACTCTTGATTTTTGTTGTAGATCGAGGATATAGAGAAGAATTGGAGAAAGAAGAAAAGAGGGCCACATCGTATGATAGGTACTTGTATGCCTAACGCATTATTATATTATAGTTACACAAATCTTTGTAGTGCTCGATATTTTGGGATAAACATTCTAATTTAATAATTTCACAAAGTTTTAGACCTAGATCTGATAGGTATAATCGAAATGAAATTGACAAACGTGGCGATAGGAGACGAGGGCGAGAATCTCCAGAAGCAGATCATAATAGAACGAAAGATAAAAGATTAGAAGAACGAAGTTTAGTTCCTATACCACGAATGACAAAGTACGAGCGTAGGCAATTATTCGCGCTGAAAGTTGCAAAGGAGGAAGAAGAGAGGCAACGTCGTCAGCAACAAGAATCGTGGCAGGAACATGAGAATAGATGTTTGGCGCTGGGTATAGACCCCCATACTACTGCTATGGTTGATCCTCAAACTGGTTATCCTGTTTTTTATAATCACACTCTTGGTCAATGGCAGCATTATTCCACTCAAGGTTGTACTTGTTAACGTACTCTGTATGCATGTTGATAACTCTTTTACAGTCCAACACATATTTACATACAGGGTGATTCAGGACGTGGGTTGCTCGACAAAAGATAATCCTTTCTGCGAGACCTATCGTTCCTCAAAGTTTGTCGGTGAGGTCCTGAATCGCCCCGTATAAGCCTACATTTCTAATGCGGAAAATGTAATATTTTTTTACAGACGGAGGAGAAGCGACGCAGCAATGCACTCCTGTTTACGTAGGAAGTGCTCAATCTACTGGTATGATGGGCCAGAGTCCTCATGTACTACCATCAGCAATGACAACCGATATGTCGTCCGGAATTACGACTGGTATTCCACCAGTAGCTTATTCATTAAGTCAAACACCTGTGTTCAGTCAAACATCTTCCTACTCTTTGATATCACATCCGCAACCATATACCGAGGGGCAACTACCTCTTCCAAATAGTTTAGTGTCTGTTTATGGGGGCGTCCCTTCCGCGTCAATTCAAGCGCCTTTTTATAACCAAATCGAAAATCCCGTAGATCAGCAATTCCCTAATCTCGCGTCCACGGAAAGCGTCACGAGTCGACCGCAGCCCGAAGTTTCGGCAATAGACTTGCCACCGAAATGGAAGAGCGCGACGGATAGCAGAGGTAGAACGTATTATTATCATGTGAAGGAAAGAATATCGCAGTGGTTACCTCCGCCACCCGATCATATCGGGGTGCAGCCAGACTCGTCGTCTACCTCTGAATCTAGCGAAGAATCCAGTTCGTCGAATGAGGATGACGAAGATAATGACGATGATCATAGCGAGGATCTAAGAAACGACGATATGGAGGCAAGTAGCGTTCTAACAGATAGTCCTTTGAGCACATCTAGGCCAAATGTATTTAAGAAGTTAGGTGGTCATAATCTGACTGGAAGTTCACTGCCGTTTCCTGAATCTAAGAAGAGAAGAGATGGATTGGTCCAAGAGAGAATTATTAGTGTGAGTATAATTTAATAACAATTAAGAAAGCTAATACGTGCGGTCCGAGCGGGACAGGTGGCTTAATGATTTATAATGTGCGAATTTTTTTTTATTACCGCGTTCAACCTGTCCTGCGCGCCGATTACTTTTTGGCTATAAAACGTGGTTTTTATTGTGATGGAACGTTATCGTCAGTGAGAAAATGAAAACATATTTATTTCAATTGTCTACTTAAATATGTAGTTGAAAACCAAGAAAATGTCAACTTTGTAAGGTATCGACAATAATTTGGCACGGTACTAATTAACTCTTAATTATAAAACCTTGAATCTATAAAAAGGAAACTTGCTCCACTTTCTATATCGCGATATTAAATTTCAACACTAATGTAACTGCTTTTTACGCTCTGTGCAGACTTCAATCGATTCATTGTTACTTATATTACAGCCACGTAGGGAAGAGGATCGTATTGATCATAAAGCATACAAAGAAATAAAGGAGAAACTACGACGACAAAAGGAAAGAACGAAACTGAAAGATGTTGAGAAGCTAAGGAAACATAGACGAAGTAACAAATCAAAGTCTCATTCGCGACATGGGTTGAGCAAGGTGCAATCAACATCAGCCGAGATGTCTCCTCTGTCTGAAAGGAAGATCAAGGATACATTTAGAATAAACATGGCTAATGTGATGGTTCACTTCTTGAATCCATATAGGAAAAATGACTGCAAACAAGGTAGAATAACTAACACCGAAGATTTCAAGCATCTAGCTAGAAAGGTACGTTGAGTTTAAGTGGGACAGATTCACAATTGTACAACAGCGGCTCTTTGTAATCGCACCTTCTGTTACAGTTAACGCATTTTGTACTTGCAAAGGAATTAAAACATTGTAAAAGCGTGGATGAGTTACAGTGTAATGAAAATGTTAAGCATAAAGCGCGAGATTTTGTACGTAAGTACATGAGCAAGTTCGGGGCGGTGTACCAGAAAGGTACAGACGAGGACTAGCTGTAATTTATGAAATGGAAAATTGTTATTTATTCCGCGAGCACTTCGTTTACCGCGAAATATATTTAGATAAATATATTTAGGTCCATATGTAGATACACATTTGTAATTGTATTATTGTATAATAGGCAAGTTTGTATATGCGTGATAAATGTTTTTTCATGATTTAGCAGTTAATAAAATTTTAGGAAATTTTTAATTTTCCGTACATTATGTATAAATTTGACACTTGTTCATTTATACATGCTAACTGCGCATGTTGTATCTTTTATAAATATTGTAACTTATATGCCAATACACACACGGTGTAAAATATATGCTCTTATAGTTGCATAAGATTTGAACCTACCTTTCGATATCAGTGTCTTAAAGTTAAACCTGAATAAATATTTATTTCTACACGTTATATGCAATAACCTCTGTAAATAATAGATTAGAAATGAATTTCTAACTGCTTCACTGGGTTGCTGTTGTGCTTGCTGACTTGTGATTGTCTGATATATGTAAATATTGGACAAGAGATGAAAACAAATCTTGCATTTATAAATTTAATTTTGTATTACCGACGTTTTTGTCTTTACACGTTAAAACAAGAATGTGATGCGTGACTTTCGAAACAGAAGCAATGTAAAATATTAAATAAAAAGAACTCTACGTTTATTGATAATGATTGTTCTTTGTGGGATTAGCAATCTGGACTTTTTTTTTAATTAATTCTATCCGTTTAAGGTATCAATTAACGTAGTTTCATTGTATGATCAATTTGGTTTACTATCTCTGTGTGTATGTACAAGTATATAGTAAACCGAGTCTTTTAAGTAAAGCACTACAGGTTATGACACAAATTTGCACCCAGTTATCGATAAAAATATTTGTAATTATATTTAAATCTAATTAAATGTACTAAAAAATATTTTATAATAGGAAATTTTTACAATTTATAGCTGTAAATTTCATTAATCAATTTGTTTTACAAAATAATGCAGTTTTTTTTTTAATAATTCCTTTACGAGAGGAGAGGGCATTTCCATCAAACTCCTGAAAAATAGCGACTCAATTGTTTGAAGGAAAATTACGTTACACGTTACACGTGAGAAGTAAGGTATGTATTAAACATTTTAAAAGTCACGGTTAATTTTGAACTGACGTGATTAGCGATTGGCTAATTTTTTTCGCGCAATTACGTAGATCCATTTGGATAGGCCTCTCATCGGCGCTAATCTCGCGTTCCCCTCGTGAAAGATTTGTATCCCGCGGCTGGTTGGCGATCGAGGTACGTAAAAAAACGAAGCGATTTATCGCATTTGTGTCAATAAGATATCTAGTGTTGAGTGCGTTGCAAAGGTGCTGCGTCGATCGAGATATTCTCAAGTAACGGTGTGCGACAATTATTTATTTATCGTGCGACGTATTGTCGACAACGTTGCATCCCTCTAACCTAAAAGAGAAAATATTCCAGACAGCAACTAATCGCAGACTTAGGTAAAATATATGTTAAGTTGCAGTTTCGTTTAATGCAGTGATTAATTTGCCACTGACATGATTACGTCGTGTCGGTGAAACATAATTTGTCGAGTTATGCATAACAGGAGATCTAAAACGTTACAGTCTCTGTGAAACACAATGCAGACGCATAAGCAACTCGTGAACAGATTTTAGTCTTTAATTGTATCAGTTATTCGAATTATATCTTCACTTTATAACTTTATAACGTTATTTTCTTTATAACTATACAGGGTGGTCCTGAAATAGTTGGTCAAACTCAGGGATTGGATTGGGCTCGTCATAAGGATGAAAAAAGTTCCCATAAACGTTAGTCCAAAAACGTATCCTTCAGGAGTTACGACTCATTTATCTATCTCGAAGAATGACTACATTTAGAATTTTGATCGTACTTACTGTGATTTGTGCTTTTTAAATTAATGTGTTCAAGAAGTAGCCTATGGAGGCACCTAAAGACTCTTGTTTATGCAACTCCAATTAATAATGTAGAGAAATTACAAGATCGCATTGTCAACACCTGCGAAATTATAAGAAATGCGCCAGGAATCTTTGAGCGTGTCAGACAGTCAATGGTTAGACGGATGGAAGCGTGTGTTTTCGTTAACGGTGGACATTTTCAACAACTTTTGTAAGTAAAAATACAGCTTTTTCCTTTCGTGGCCTTCCATCTTTTGAATCGGGTATTAATAATTAAACGAGCCATAACTCCTGCGGGATGCGTTTTTGGACTAACGTTTATGGGAACTTTTTTCATCCTTGTAACGAGCCCAATCCAATCCCTGAGTTTGACCAACTATTTCAGGACCACCCTGTATAACGTTAATGTAAGGTTTAAATTGTTGCGCATTATGTTTTGCGAGTGATACAGTTTTCACAAAATGTTATCGAGAGGCGTTTTGTGTAAAATTGCATTTACGTATTTATAAATGGTAAAAGTTGAAGGTGTAATTTCAGTTAATCTCCAAAATTCACGCAAGTACCGCCTGTGTCTGCGAGAAGCATCAATAACTTGACGTAAATTTTAGGAGCGTTCGTATAAAACGTATCGCGCTTTGTCGAATGGATGTGTTGGAACCAGAATTAATTTGGGTTGGTGGACAGTGCTACAGATTTTACGAAAGCACCATCTGGAAAAACATTCACACGTCAGCCCCATACATGGAGGACAAGGAGTCAGTTTGCTCGGACGAGGAATCTGAGACTGATATAGAGATAGTGCCCCATGACACGACGTTTACGCACACCTTTTACGTACCCACGTGAGAATCCTTTCAAGTATTATTTTATCACAAGATAATTACTAGAAAATTACTGTACGTCAGTAACTTCTAATGGTTCGATTACTGATATACAGTAATTTTCTAATCATTATTTCGTTACTCTTTCATAAGGAATAACACTTGGACAGAGTTCAATAATGCAAGGATGACGTAACGTAGCAGTGTTGATTGAACAACGTGTAGTGATAGTTAATATTTTATCGTTTTATTGTAACGTTTCAGAATCTTTTATTCGCATATAATTGGTATGAAGGGTACAACCCTCAGGAAATTGCAAAATGAGACGAGAACAACTATTACTATACCAAAGAAAGGAAACGATGGAAACATCGGTAAAAATGAGTTGATTGATTTGATATTACGTTGCCGTTGTTATAAGTTCAGTATTGATTCAATTAATTTTTAATTGTGTGTTCAATTTTGTAGTTATTACCGGACGGGAACGTAAGGACATAATATCTGCAAGGCACAGAATTGACTTGCTAATAGAAGCTTCGAAGAAGAAGATACGTTATACACATTTTTTGTCGATTCCACTGAACAAGAAAGAGATAATCGATAATTATCTTTCTTTCAAGAAAGACGTGTTGGAGATGCACAACCAGACCACACACAATATTGACGAGTCAGTCTTTCAAACCCCAGCGAAGTTGCATCTTACTATTGGGATGCTCAAATTATTTGACGATAACGAGAAACAGCACGTTATTGATGCTCTCGAGGAGTGTAAAGAAAACATTATAGAGTAAGACGTTGACTTAATAACAATAGTATATGCTACATAATTAATTACCAAACTAAATGATATAATATTAATTTATCGTAGAATTTAATTTTTTAATTGTTTATGTAATCTATTGCAGTCCCATTCTTGAAGAAACTGGGCCAATAAACATACAACTACAAGGAGTTGCGTGCATGAATGACGATCCTGCTAACGTCAAAGTTTTGTATGCACAAATTTTGCACAGCGAAAAATTGCAAAACCTCGTTGATACAGTTACCGAATACTTTGCTGATATAGGTAAATGATATGTAGATTTAAATATCTCTGAAAGAGACACGTTTTGTGCAAATATCAAAATAATTATTTTGATATTTGTTTAAAAACAAATTATCACTGATATTAGTCTGGTCTGATATCTCGTTTATATCATTATATAATTTTTTACTTTAGGCTTAATGGAGAAGGATAAAGTAAAATTACACGTTACTCTAATGAATACAACATTTAAAAAGGATTACCCGGCAAGATTCAGAGAAAAATACGACGCAAGTGAAATATTGAAAGTAATAAGATTTTTTTTTATAAACCAGATTCGTCGATTTTAGTTGCTACAAAATTTATAATAAAAATAATACTCGTTTCATATTTTAGGTACATAAAGATACAGTGTTTGGAGCAACAGTACTAAATCAGATTGATATATCTGAACTTCGAACCGCTACCAAAGACACTTATTATAAATCGATAGGTAGCATTACTTTTTAAGTACACGTGCTATAGTTGTAACGATGATGTAACGAAATCTGTTTAGTAGAAAATTCATTGTTAGCTCGTGTAATCGTCGCGAGAAAGGATTTGTGATCGAATTCGGGTGTTGAAAACCTGCTATTTCATATTAGAAACTTATCTCATAATAGAGAACTTTACGTATATTACTTAAAGTTCTTTTTTGCATATTATGATATGGATATTAAAAATATAACTTAAGTAAGGCTAAGTTGTTTTATGCAGCTGTATTTTGCGTTATTCAAAGTAGTTTTATCATTGTGCTGATTTAAATACGTCCGGGTATCTTTTCACGTACAAGAATATTCTAGAAATAACTTCGGTTGAGGTTTAAGTTCGTAAATGCTCCTTCGTTCGTAACGGTTTGTAAAGGTCATAAACGGCCGGAAGTTTTTTTTTTTAGATTCTCGAAAGACTATTGGTTCACGCAGCAATGCTAAAGTTCTGAGGAGAAAATTCGCGAAAGGGCAGGTGAGGGAAGGGGAAGCAGATAGAAAGAGATTCCGTATTTTTGGAAATGTATAAAGATTAGGACAAGGAGATGTTCAGAGACTTCTCAGGATAAGCCACGTGCTCGGGGAAAAAAAAAGAGTACGAATATTGCGTTAGTTTCTTACGTTAGAAGACGAGAAGTTCTAGAATCAGGTCGCTGTGTTAACGAGGATCTAGGCGCGAAAATAGAGTTTACGTAAACAAAGGTAAATATCGAAGTTCGGAAAACGAAGGTAAGGGAAGAAGAGGTAAATTTCATCCGGTTGTAATCGCGGGAAGTGATCGTTTACACTCGGTAACGATTGTCTCTCCGCGATTCGTCGAAGGACGTTAACTCCGAGCTGGAAGAACGTGCGATTAAAGGCATCGATTAGATATTAGTTTCTAAACGTGTTCGATTTAACTGCGTTGTTTAAAGAGAATGTGCGTGCGTGTTTCGTTCGTAAATCAACACAGACGAATCGGCCACGACATTGGCCGAATCCTAATCATGTATTTTCCTTATCAGACTGTCAATAGAGCTAGCTCTCTCAGCTTCCATCTCCGTTCGGTTTTCATTAACGCCTAACCTCTTTTGTTAAATTAATCTAATTGCCGTTGCGCCGAAAGTAGTCTAGCAAAGGCTGGAATCACGAAACTCCGTAAATAATGAAACAGTGGATACGGATGCTCGTTTCTTCCGGCGTGAGAATCGGATAATACGAGACGGCGTTTTTCAACTTGCATTGTAAGCGCGCGTGCAACCTAAGCGGCGTACACGCTTAAGATTATAAATATTTCAATTGTTTGTGTAACGCGAACGAAAGCCGATAAGTTTTGTTAAATAAATTCGAAGACGTAACCTCTAAAACGAACAAGTGTATTTATTTATGTAATCTAATTTCGAGCGTGTGGAAAGTACTTTTTGTTTAACAAATCATTTTGCTTGTCGTTTACGCTTGGTACAACATAACAATTCTCCCGATGCCGATCATATAAAACTTGTGCGCCCGCGTGTACATATTTTTTTATAATTTTTATATGTAAAAGTACGCGTAAATTGTGTTCTTCAATTGTAATTTTTTTTTTAATACCAATGCTGTCGAATGTTACAATTTCAATGGGAGAACAGACAAGCGTTCAGAAACAATTGTATGCATATCATTTAAATATTTTTAGATAGAAACGTTTTGCTCTTTTATTAGCTGTTTTGAGAGAGACGAATCTAATCAGCTTCAAAGAGACACGATGCAACATGTATACGAGTAATTTTAGCTTAGCGACGTACCAATTACTATTCAACACTAATACTGCCAATTTTATTTAATAGATAACAGCAGAAATGGACGGTGTACAACGACTGATCATTTTCTGCATACTGATAGCTTTTCTGCCTGTCTTGCTCATAATAATTCCTTTGTATCTACGGCACATCTTCTATGCTGACGTCGCGTACGCCGTGACGGAGTCCGATATTTTAGAAATCAACGATGGGATCTCAACAGTATTTTGTTCGGTGAGAAGAGAAGAATAAATATTCGTCCTTTCTAGGATCGTTCGTGTATCGTTGTGCGTCTAACGTAAAGAACGTCTAAAACTGTATCACACACAGCGAGATTGCAAACATCAGTACAACGTTAAAGGCGAGGGGTAAACCGCTGACTCAAATAATGCACACCAATGCCTACCAATGCCCAGCGGACAGTACTTTATCTTATTTATCTTGTTTTATCTTTATAATGCCAAAACTAATGCCTAGAAAATGCCTAGTAATGCCACAAATCTGTACACCACGGTGCCCTCAGCGATTTACCTCTCGGTTAAAGACGATACGACCTTTATAGTCTGGCATATTGCTGTCATATTTCATAAATTGGACCGTACGATAAATAGAAATATCTCTTTTTTTCCCTTTCTTCTATAGGAACACACCTTAAAAATGAACGGCACTTTTAATGCCTTCCAAATGCTTCACCGACCAGAGATCACATCGAAACGAAAACATATAAGACTTAAAAAGAGCATGAGTTTACCGGACGACACGTTAGAGTATTGGGGATTTTATTTATTGAAAAACGCAACCGTAGCACTGTCTGTGTGTTCAAGGTAAAGAGCAAAAGAGAAGAGAACATTTTTTTCTTTGCAAATCCAATCTGCTAGTACGATTCCTCCAATTGCACTTACTTACGAATATGGGCACGTATGTGAAAGAGAGAAAAATCTTTTCAGATTCGAGGGAGCCTCTATATTAGTGGTGAAGGGAGAAAGGAACCTACGCACTTGTGGCCTGCTGGAACATAATCTTAACAAGCAACCACAAGGCATCTTCTTACCAGGTGCAAACAGACAAGTCAAGATAATATACGAATCGAATGCACAAGAAATTGATTCTGGGGAAACGACCACCGTCGAATCCGTCAAATCTACCCGCAGTATCGATAAGATGGACACGATTTTCAAGACGAAGCCAGACGACAGCGCACGGGCGTATGCTAAGGATGAAAATTTGACGGTAAGCTTAGAGACTTACTTGTATCGCAATGCGACGGCTTATATTTACGAATACTTGAGTCAACGAGAAAATACGAACAACACCAGAAAGGGAAGACACGTTAAACGCCACAAGAGAAATAAATATGAAAGAACGGGGCGAAAGAAGAGAGGTGTCTACGACTATCGCAAAGAGATGCGTCTGGAAAATTTAGAACGAACATTGAACTCGTATGTGACCAGTGAAAGTAAGAAGTGGGAAACGCAGGAGGAAGATGCGATACGTACCAAGAGATTTAAAAGAAGTAGAGAACTCATAAAGCCACCGTCCTTGTTAGATCAAGGTATCAAGCACGGTGGGAACGCCGATAAAAATTACACGTCCGATTCTAAGGGGGCGTCGTCTGTTTCTAGCTTCGAAAGTGGTCTATTGAGTTGTTACAAGGGCGCGATACTGTTGGCCCACGAGTTTCAACCCTCGGACCAGTGCACCAACGTCTCCTATTTACTTAATAGCAAGCACATACAGGCGAATCACCGTGTGGAGCAAGACGGTTATTATTATTACATTTTTTATAGCGATAACGATATTGTGTCCAATGATATTTACGCGATTTTCGATATATATAAGCCAACCTTTCAATACGAAAATGTGACTAAATCGTGTATCAATCAGACCGAGTGCTCATTCCGTATAGACCCGCTGTCAGCGGACAGGGTAATCATCGAGATACCAACTAAGGACGGTATCGTGCATAACGAGATGGACGACTTTGGCATGCTGATTTCTATCTGTCAGCCGCGAATGAGCGCGTACATGATTTTCCCGATTGCAGCGTTACTCTTGATTCTCAGTTGTTCTTTTATGTAAACAGAACGGACTAACCAGAAGTAGCAATGAGTAAATTGTCTCAATACACACTTTACTCGCGAAGCGTTGATCAGGAATTTAGCGTGAAGCACGGACGAGGAAAATTATGTTTTCGATTTTGAGGCATATAATACATGTATAAGAGATACTTTACTCAAGATGAGAGATGTACTGATTTAAAAAAATATGTATAATTTCGTTACTTTCCTTCTTAAGTCACATTTTTCCTATGAGATTACTGTGTCTTCGTCAGCGTTTGTTATAATTGTATAAATGCGTGTAAAATCAAGTATTCTTTTCGCAATTGCAGTTTCATTCAATCCGTGGGACTGATTTTGTTTTCACAAATTGAAAATGTCAATTGCATTTATAGTTTTCCAACAGTGACGTTAAGAGCATAATAAGGAATTGCTGAAAAAAAGTCAGTAATGAAAGTATATATTTCTATTGATTTCAAGCTGCCATTTTTATCTTAATATTTTCGATCTATTAGTTTTAATTTGTAATGTTGAATACATTTTGTTAAATATTTTTTGTGAGGAGGAGTCACGGTTTAGTTTAAAGAAACTGTGCGTGATCGAAACTGTGTACTTATCCGATAGTTCTATGATGTATAATACTCTGAAAGTCCAAGGTAGATTCGGAATTTGAGTTATAAACGAAGGGCAGCTAAGTCAAAATTACGAAAAGTATACGCAATATATACGTGACGCAGTTCACAAGCATATATGGTGCAAAGTAAACGTTATATTGTTTACACTACCAGAGATTCACGTGTACGCGTATCGTGTATTAATTATAAGACAATAAAGTTATATTTTTACTGACTTAGGAATTAATGATTGTACAACTACAACCAGTGCGATCTTGGGGTCAATTCTGTATCCACAATGTAAGGTGGATTTTGGAGACTGATATTGGAGTCATGAATGCCTTTACACTTGAAGAAAGACACTAAAGAGATATCCGATGGGAAAATGTTGTTTTAATAAAATGAATCTTTTTTTATTGGAATATGTTGAACTTAGTGGCTACTTTCAGGTGTAAAAGCATTCGTGACGCCGAGTGTACACTCTGGCACCCTTTGGTATATCCCAGATAGCACAAGACACTCCTATGCACATTTAGAAAATATTCTTCAAGAATATTTGGAATATTCCATGGGTCATTCTTATATATTTATCTTGTGTTCATGGAACATTCGACTGGCACTACTATAAATCTTTTTCGAACGTGAATGGAATAATCTATCGAATATAGCGTGTCGGTTATATATGGTGTGATCACAGGTTTCACTGCCTTTTACATAAGTGTATCACACAATAAGCAATTGTGCAATACATAAATTCGATGAATATTAAAAAATGATTTTGTTTCTAATTGTAATAATCTATATATATATATATATATATATATTTATAGAATATTCGATCGGAATAGTCTGAAATTAAGAATATTTGCATTCCAGAAGAATATTCATAGAACTATGTGTGCTATGTGGAATGTACTTTGGAATGTGTTCTAGAATGTACCAGACACTCACCGGAAATCGCCTATTGTGAAAATGCTAAAGCGGTTTCGTCTCTTTTTAAGGGGACGGTTAGAAAGAGCTATTG